TTATATGCCATTTCTGAAAAGGCAAAACTGATCTCTGGCGAAAGACCTCGGATCAGTATGACCCTGGGTGGGTGGAGATGAGAGTGACCAGCCAGAGGCACAGAAAAACTTCCTGGGGAGACAGGCATATTCTCTGTCTTTAGGGATCATGATCATGTGAAATATTTTGGATTTTACATGCCGAATGGGTGGCTTTTATTTTATTAAAAAATTATACTTAACAAAGTTGATTATAAAATGTATATATTTCTAATGAAAGCAAAGATGTTGTGTCTTCTTTTATTGTTTAACACCATTCTGAAATGAAGAGTTCATAAACTTCAAGAGAAAATACAAACAGGTTGCAAGTTTGTAAAGGAGAAGCGAGTTGTCTTAGTGAGTTTGGGCTGCTTAACAAATTACCAAGGCCTGGATGGCTTAAACAACATTTATCTCTCACAGGTCTGGAGGCTGGTAAATCCAAGATCAAGGCATCAGCAAATTCAGTTATTGGTGAGGGCCTTCTTCCCAGTTGGCCAATATCTACCTTCTGGCCTTGTCCTTGCATAGTAGAGAGGAGGGAGAGACAAGAGAGAGCTTTAGTATCTTTCTCTTCTTATATGGACACAAATCCCTGTACAACAAATGAAAACAAAATGTGAAATTTGTATGATCAATCATTACAAGGTATGAACAGATCCAGGCAAATTTAATATTGAGTTAAAAAGAAAACAAACTGCCAACATGTTTCTGCATGGAGAAAAAGACACTAAAATGATATTTCTTTATAAATTACTTACTAGATTTAATAAAATTCCCCAAAGAGAACACCTAAGAAAATTTTGTAAAGAGTAAAAGGGAACTGACATTCCCAGAGTTAAAATATACTTTAAAGCTATAGTAGTCAAATACATGATCATAGTAAGAGCATAGAAAAATTGAAAAAACAGGTCCGTTGAACAGAATAGATAGCTCAGAAACAGATCTTATTATGAAAGAGTTATATGTATATAACAAATGTGGTATTACACATCAGGACAAAAGAAAATAATTGTTCAATAAATGGTGTTTGTATAACAAATACATTATTAACTTAGTTCTCGTCCAATAGCATAGGCCGAGATTAGTTCCAGAATCAAATTTTAAAATCCTGTAGCCCTGGCTGGTGTGGCTTGGTGGACTGAGTGCTGGCCTGAGAACTGAAGGGTCACTGGTGCAATTCGCAGTCGGGGCCAATACCACAGGTCCCCAGTAGGGGCTGCGTGAGCAACCACACACTGATGTTTCTCCCTGCCTTGGTCATCCCCCTTCCCCTCTGTCTAAAAATAAATAAATAAAATCTTTAAAAAATTCTTAAACAGAAAACTGTACTTAAAAATAACTAAATAAAAATTTAAAAAAAACAAAAAATAAAAATAAAAATTCTTTAAACAAATATAAATAAAGATGAATATTTGTTAACTGAAGCACTGGAGTACAAGGCAATGGCAAAGAGAAACCAATGAGCCTTAGAGCAGCAGTTTTCAGTCGGTGTGCCACGGCATACTGCCGTGCCGCAAGAATGTTTGAAACACGCAATATCAAACTATTTAGTCAGGGGCACTGACCTCTTTTTCCTTAGATTGTCAAATGAAAAAAATGTCAACAGCCAACAAAATAGCCTTCTGGTATAAATGAATCAAAACCATACCTATTATTTTGTTGAATAAGCAAAAAAATTTTTTTTGGTGTGTTGCAGAATTTTTGTCATTATTTTATGTGTACCATGAGATGAGAAAGATTGAAAATTTCTGCCTTAGAGGGAAGCACCATGAAGGTGGAGACCCTGGAGGTTTGACTTATCACTGACCTCTGTGGCCAGTAGGAGATCTAGCCTATTGCGTGTGCACTAATAAATCTTTATGCATTTTACAAATGTATGAAAACAGTTGTTTATTTTTTTGTAAAGGCAGAACCACTATCAGTTTTAAAATGGCAAATTGCAAAACATATTTGTCATATATATGAAATAGGATTAATATCCTTCTCTTACTAAAGGTTCATGCAAATGATAAGAAACTTTTTTGAAGCTCATTAGATGGGTAAATATGGGGCCAAGCTGTTCACAATAAAAAGAATACAAAGATTAATGAGCATTTGAAAAAAATACTGAGGACTTCTGGTCAAGATGGAGGCATAGGTACACATTTTGCCTCCTTGCACAACCACAAAAAGAATTACAACTAAATCTCAAAACAAATAATGCCCAAAACTGTCAGAAATTCAAACTGTATGGAAGTCTGACAACCGAGTATTTAAAGAAGCCACAGTCATCCAGATGGGTATGAGGGCTGGAGATGCAGAGATGGGGCAGAGAGGTGAGGAGAGGGGATGTGGCAAAGAGCGACAGCCGTGATGGTGGTGGCAGATCAGATGGTCCCATATTCATGTGTGGTGGATAAAAATAGGGAGGGATACCTCGGGAGTGAGCAATCCAAGCTCTAGACCAGAGCACACAGCCCAGGATTCCAGTGCTAGGAAGATGAATCCCCATAACTGACGGCTGTTAAATCCAGTGGGGTTTGGGGTAGCAGAATAAACTGAGGGATTTTCAAGAAGCTTCACTTATAGAGCTTGCACAATCTTTGAACATACACAAACCCACCCACTCTGGGATTCAACACCAGGGCAAGAGCTTGAAGGGTGCCAGTTACATACAGGAAGTAGGTGAGATGACTGGATGGGGGGCAATTGCCAGGCAGTAGCACAGTCCCCTCTCTGAGCCCTCCCCACACACAGAGCTGCAAAGTGGTGAAGCAGGTTGCCCTTGAACTACTCTGGCTTAAGACTCTGACCCACACATTTACAGGTGCCTTTTATAAGGAGTCAAAGCAGCTCTACTTAATACAAAGAAATAAACACAGGGAGGCTGCTAAATTGAGGAGGCAAAGAAATATGGCCCAAATGAAAGAACAGAACAAAACCCTAGAAAAAGAACTAAATGAAATGGAGATAGCCAACTTATCAGTTGCAGAGTTGAAAACACTGGTGATCAGGATACTCAACTTGCTGAGTATGGCAACAACATAAAGGAAGAAATGAAGGTTACACTAAGCGAAGTAGGGAAAAATCCACAGGGACCTAACAGTGAGGGGAAGGAATTTGGGATTCAAATAAATGATTTGGAATATAAGGAAGAAATAAACATTCAACCAGAACAGAAAGAAGAAACAAGAATTCAGGAAAATGGGAATAGTATAAGAAGACTTTGGGACATCTCCAAATGTGCCAACATCTGAATCAGAGGGCTGCCAGACAAAGATGTGGGAAAGCAAGAAATTAAAAACTTATTTGAAAAAATAATGAAAGAAAGCTTCCCTAATTTGGTAAAGGAAATAGACATACAAGTCCAGGAAGCACAGAGAGTCCCAAACAAGTTGGACCCAAAGAGGACCACACCAAGACACATCATAATTAAAAGCCAAAAGTTAAAGAGGAAATCTTAAAAGTAGCAAGAGAAAAGCAGAGAGTTACCTGCAATGGAGTACCCATAAGACTGTCAGCTGATTTCTCAAAAGAAACTTTGCAGGCAAGGAGGGACTTGCAAGAAATATTCAAAGTGGTAAAAAGCAATGACCTACAACCTAGATTACTCTATCCAGCAAAGCTATCATTTAAAATTAAAGGGCAGATAAAGTACTTCTCAGACAAGGTAAAGCTAAGGGAGTTCATCATCACCAAGCCAGTATTGCATAAAATGTTAAAGGGACTTATTTAAGAAAAATAAGAAGATCAAAACTATGGACATCAAAAAAGCTACAAATTTACAACTATTATCAAATGAATTTAAAAAAAAAGCAGCCAAGTAAGCAAACCAGAACAGGAACAGAATCATAGGTTCGGAGATTATTTGGAGGGTTATCAGCTGAGAGAAAGGAGGAAGGGGGAGATGGGATAAAAGGTGCAGGAATTAAACAGCATAATTGGTAGGTACAAAATAAGGGGAATTTTGAGAATAGTATGGAACACTGAGAAGTCAAGGAACTTACAAGCACAACCCGTGGACATGAACTAAGGGAGGGGATGGCTAGAGGGAAGGAGGGTACTGGGCAGAGGTTGGCAAAGGGGGAAAATTGGGACAACCATAATAATATAATAAAGTATATTTTAAAAACATTGAATGTTAATGAAACAGAATTGTGTGTTACCTGTCAAATTATAAGATTGAAAAGAATAAGAATATCCAATGAGAGTTTGGCAGTAACGGTATTACCAATTTGAAGTCTGCCTGCCTGAAGCTTCAAAAGGCCAAAACTCAAAATGTCAGAGTTTGGAGTAACAAAAGGTTTATTGATCTAGAATTTGCCAATAGAGAAGACAAGAGACCTAGTGGTCCTCAAAAAGGAGTTAATGGGAAGGGGGGATGGAAGAGGCAAGAGGTGACTGAGGACCACAGACATCCAGGCACTAGCAGGGGTCAGAGGAAGATTGTACTTAGTCTGTTGCCCCTAGCTGAGTCACAGGTTTTTTGTGTTTTTTTTTCTTCATCACAAGTTTTATTTGGGAAGAATTTCTAATTGTTAAAGCTGCAGGCGAGTTCCTTTCACAATTAGAGTTCTAGAGATGTGGCAGTTTCAGAGACCCCAGTGTTCAAAAGCGTACTTCAAAACTAACAGCAAAAACGAACCCACACTCAAAGGAAAAGCTCTTAAGATTGGTCCTGGAATGTACTACCACCGACTTCAGCTAGTCCCAGACACAGGCCTCCCACTTCTTTGGAAACCAGAGGGGACACAGTCAATGTCCACAGGGGGAAAACAAGTCTTAAATAAGTTAGCCACTTGGACAATATTATCCACTCCTTAGAAAATGCAGTCAGATAACAAGCCCCAGTGATGGGGTACATGGCACAGCACCAGTTTCGCAGGAAGCTCACGGAGGTTGTTGGGTCAGCAGGCATTGGCGTATGGCACACGGAGAGCAGTCACCAGAAGCGGGGAGAGCTGAGGGGCCGGGAACCTCTCCCAGAGACACCGGCCTTCTCACTTGCTGACAGCGGAGGCTACAGTGCTGCAGTATCTTTGGGATAACATTCGCGACAGTTGAACAACAAGGGAAAAAAAAACCCACCATGACTCCCCAGAAAGTCCACATCTGCAAAGGAAGGGGAACCTCCCATTCACTTCTGTTTCCACATGATATAAGACATCAGCCAGAGTGTGTTCTATGACACACCCCAGCCCATGTCACCCATAGGGCGGTAAGTGAGGTCCTTTGGAGGATGCTTGAAGCATGGTCCAAAGTTAATGGAAACCGTGCGGCTCTTGTACAGTGAAATGGCTGGAAAGTAAACCGCCTCGGAAACATCTTTGTAAGCCACGCCTTGATTGACACCATTTTTATAAAATATTATCTCACTATTGGGAGTCTGCTTTAGGCTCTTCTCTGCTTTATCCACAAAGTCTTTTTCCTCAAAATACAAATAACTCTTGAACTTTATCAAAGCTTTACCTTCATAGGTATGGAGCAGTGACTTGGCTGTCTCCGTGTCTTCAGGAAGATTGATATAGAATCCCAGGACATCTCCCTGTCCGTAGGTGGAAGAGTAGTGTTTACCAATGGACGGATGGAACTTGGTTCCCTTTTTGCTTCACCAAGAAGAGCTAAATTTATCATAACCTAAGGGAGCTTGAAGGTTACCAAAGGGCTGAGACAAACCCAGTCTTGCAGCAGTGTCTGGTGGCATCTCATCCACCGTGATTTTAAAGTACCAGGCACCTTTCAGCACCACATGAGAAGCCCACACCATAGAGTAGCCTTTCTCTCCAACCACAGTCAGCCGGCCATCAGAGATCTTTAGCTGGGGAGCTCGACCAGGCAGGGCTAACAAAACCCGTTCATACAAGCAGGCTCTGTAGAGGTCTCCAGGAATAGGTTTTCCTGCCCAGCAGTTCCAGCTTCTCAGAGTCAGGGGCGCAGGGATTAGGCTCAGCTAGAATATACCAATAGTCATCTTTGTTAAACGTGTGTTCCAAGGGGTAGCCATGGTGGGGAAGGAGCTGAGCAGAAAACAAAGGGTCACTCTGAGCCTTCTTTGTGGTCCCTCCAGCCTGCTGTTTGCGCTTGGCTCCTCTTCCTTTTCCACTGCTTCCTGCTGCAATTCTCCCGTGTGAGTGTGAGCACAAGGTTCCTGGAAATATTTGATAAACAGTGCATACTTCCCTTATCGCTTTGGGAGAGGAACTTTCTGGTAAGGGGATGCTTTTGTAATATTCAAGCCATAAACAGGATTCCTCTAATGATTATTATATCTATGTGCAAAAAGTTATTAATGGAAAGGCTTTAGGAACAGAGCAGGCTTGAACAAGATGGAGTTGGGGAAGCCAAGCATCTCACTCCGTTACAATAGGTCATGTCACACAGTTTGATACAAACTATTGTAAGAAAGTAATACTGCATTCTCAGCCTTAAAAGTATGTACTACTTTTGACTCTGTAATCACTTTTCAGATAATGTATTTTAAGGAAATTACCCGATACAAAAAAAAAACCCCATATACAACGTTTATCATGAAATTATATGTGGCAATGAAAATTTGGCAAGTCTACACCTAACAATAGGAAAATGGGTTTAAAATTTTGGTGTAGCTACACAATGGAATACTATACAGCCATTTAAATTATTTCTATAAAGATATTAAAATATCATTGGGAAATGATGGTTTTAAAAGATACTGTGTGGAGATAAATTGTTTGGTGATTGCCAACAATATAAAAGATGCATAGAAAAATAATATATCATAAGCATTAGCTTTTCCTGAAGAAGCAGACACTCCTAACACTTTAAAAGGATTATATTCTGTACCCTCACATCAAATTTATGATACTTTTTTTTTTATTTGTACCACTGAACAACTGAGGAAACTGATTCACAGTGTAACTAAGTAACTTACTTGCCCAAGTCGCTGGGGTAACCCGTGGGATGGGATCGCAGGATTTGATGGCGGGCTAGCTCCCGCATCCGTGCTTTTCATCACTGTTTGTTTTCATATGGCTTGTTTCTGTTAAAATGTAACATCGAGGCCCTGGCTGGCTTAGCTCAGTGGATTGAGTAGGGGCCTGGGAAACAAAGAACTGTGGTTCGATTCCCAGTCAGGACACATGCCTGGATTGCAGGCCAGTTCCTAACAGGGGACTCAGGAGAAGCAAACATACATTGATATTTCTCTCCCTCTCTCCTTCCCTTCCCCTCTAAAGACAAATAAATAAAATCTCTTTAAAATATAACATGTTTCCACTAGTTTTATAGGTGTGGGGCTCATTGCCTCTCTGTACTTTATATAACTTCCAAAGTTTTTATAATACGCATTTATCATTCTAAATAATCTTAATAATTTTATTGAGATCCCCAAATCAACTTGATTCTGTGTAATCACATCCGATCCTATATCTGGGAATTATTTGCAGTCTTTGGAGCCTCTGGTCCCCATTTCCTCTTGTTCACAGGGTCTCCTGGATTCTACCCACGGTATGTCCTGATCCCCATTCTTTCTTTTTAATCTTTTTTTTTTATTGTTCGAATATAATTGTGTCTAGATCCCCATTCCTGAAGCATGCTTTTTTTTACCCTGCGCCTGCGCCACACCAAACAGCTCGAGGGTGCAATTGACAAACTTTTAAAGGCCGCAGTCAGTCTTCTGGACCTTCCCGGGTACCGCCCCACGAGGCCCTGCAGACCCCTAGCGGCCACGGGTTCATGCTTCTGTAGCTGAACCAGGCCGGGCACCCCTCCAAGAATTCAGCGTCCTTCCTACAGTGATGTGCCCACGGGGAAGTCCCCTGGGGCTGGCAGGCGGGAATTGGCCTCTGCCCACAGTCAGAGAGGCCGAGAGGCCGCTGGGGTTTAAGGTTCATGCCAAGCACCAGCTCCGGGTGCAGCAGTTCTGGAGCGGTGCCCTGTGGGTTGGGGGACGCGCACGCAGACACAGGGGCAGCAGCCCACCTGCTTGACCATCGCTTATTAGATTGTGGCAATTGCTGAAAACAGTGACTTTCTATCTGACTGAGCAGTGCCTGCGAAAAGCCAGTGCTAATTAAAAACGGTTTTCTGGGACAAATTTACGGCTTGAGTCCTGGGGGGAATTATTTGTGGGGTGAGTGTATTTTAAACATGCTTTTATCTTGAGAATAAATCATCTCTGGTGGGGAACAAGAGTAGGGGGAACGGTTCGTGCAGCCGTGGGAGTTCAAGTCCCACTTTTGTGGAGTTACGGTAAGGGACGCCTTGTGGCAGCTCTGCCCCTGGGTAACCAAGTTTTCCAGGTCCCTGGGGCAATTATTCGGCTTAAGCCTGCCTTGCTCCTGGGAGACATTCACAAGCAGGATCACAGCCCGGCAGCCGGTTCTTCTGCCTGGAATAAGCTTTTCCTTTCAGTGGTCTGCTCAGGGAAAAATGGTGAAACCCCCCAAATCTGCTTCCTTATGTGGTTAATAAAAGGGCGCAAAGAAGAGCCCGGGGAGAGAAAGAATGCGAGTGACTTGCGTAGTATTTTGACGTCTAAAAACCCGACTCTGGTGAATCACTGAATCCCGTATTTCAGGTTTCAGTGTCTAATGAGGTTTGGGGGACGCAAATTACTTGTTGTTCGCAAAATCTCTGCACAACGTGCCCCAAGTTTGCGGCTCCCGTGAGGAAAGCTGGGCTGAGCGGGAGTGGGGAGGGTCTCCAAGTCGCAGGCGCTGCGCTCGGGGTTTCTGTCTAGTTTCCTGCCTCGGAGTGGCCGCATCCGCCCCAGCCCAGAGCAGTCTGTGCAATTTAGAAACTCGATAGGAGGCAGCAGCTGATCTCCCACCACCCTAAAAATAATCCACTCAGGCGCGCTGCGTGCTGCGGATAGGGGAGGAAAACTGTGCCTTCGGAATAAGTGAGTCCGTCTTTTACGTTAATATCATTAACAATTTTTAAGAATAACTGTAAACTGTCTATTTGAATCTACCGTGTCGGCAATCCAAAGGCGCCCGCGCACTCGCCAGCGCTTTGCCTTCTCGGTGGCTATTTCTAGGATTAAGGGAAAGGGCCTCCGGCGGGAGGCGAGGGCGTGGGGATCAGGTTTCCAGCCTTCCTCGCACAGCTCTGGCGGCAACTACTTCAACCGACTGCAGTCAGTGCAAGCAGTCATCACTATTTTTTTTCTTTAACTCTTAAACATTTCCTGTATTGTTCACGAAGTAGCTTTCTATCTGTTTAATTTTTGTTACTCTTTGCTTTTTAGGAGTTCTGCTTCCCGGGTTGAAATGTACACTTAAGCCAGTGTAGGAAGCCGGTGTGTTGAAGGTAGAACACGTACACCAGTAGGGGTTTGAAGCAGCGTCAGATGGTCCAAGGTATTTATTTCTTGCTTTATTTGTTCAGTTTGAGATTTTAAAATATTCCATTGGAGTGTCTGTCTAAGGAATCTTACCTGCTGAGTAGTTCCAACATTTCCTTGCGTTTGCTATAGAACTCAATGGGTGCGTTCAGATCAGAAGTCAAGGCTCATTTTTTTTGTGTGTGTGCCAGTGATTTTCCCATTTGGTTCTGTCGTTCATAGATAAACAGATAAACAAACTACTATTTTAATTTACATTTTATGAACTATCGGCTGAATAACTTAAAGATGTTATTACGTTTGTTTTCATGACTGATCTCATCCTGAAAATGTCCTAGATAAGGATAAAGTCCTAAATAAGTTCTTTAAGATGTCATGTTTCTTTCTCATAACATAATTTGCTTAATCTCTGGTAACTAAAAGATGAGTTATTGTGCCTATAAGGATGAAAGCGTTGATGCTCCTTTTAGTATGTTTTCTTTAGGTGTTTCCAGCATATTAAACTCCCAGGGATTGCTGTTGCCTTAGAACTGACAGTGTCTGCTGGGTAAACAGAGATACTAGTTTCCCCTTACTTTGGGCTTGTCAGCCAAATGCAAATTTTTTAACTCTGAGGGGAGTTCTCTGTTCAATGAATTTCAAAGAATGAGGGTACCCAGAGTAGTATTCTTGCCATGAAATTATGTTTGGTTGTCAAGGAGTATTTTCTTCTTTTCGGCTCTGCAGATCATCCCTATAATCAAAATTTCATTTTTGATAATTGTCTTCTAAAGTTTATTCCATCAAATTCTCCAGTTCTATCCGTGGTCGCAAACACTTGAACATCTTTCCGAGGGTTTATGCTCGTGAGGAAAATGTCATGTCTTCCTGTCTGGTCTCTCCTCCCTCTCCCCCTTCCTTGATGGGGGCCTCTGTCAGTGCTCAGCTGAACTGGTCAGATCCAGGAGGGGTGGGGCTGAAAGATGTCAGGAGGCAGAGTTTAGCCAGCAAGAGCACCAGTTTGTGTCCTTCCCAAAGCCTTCCTAACCTAACCGGGGTAAGGAAACCTTGGATGGCATTCGGAGATCTAAGAATTAGTTAGAAATACTGAGTGAGTAAAATAACTCTTTAGCTAAACACAGTGATTTTCAATACATCTACAATAAGATTATGTCTTCCCTCTTTTTGTCCATGTTGGGCTGTAGTATGGACTGGCTGTTAGAATGTGCCACCTGCACACTCGATTTTAGAGAAAGAGGCTAAGGGTCCAAGGGAGAAGGTGGAAAAGGAGGTAGAAGAAAAGGCAAAAGGAGAGATGTTGTGAAAGACACAGTGACTAGGTTGGGAGCCAGAGGGAATCTGAGGTTAGAGACTATGGTAGACAGAGTAAATCATTCTAAAGCTTTTGCTTTACTAATCTGGAGTAGGGACCTTCATGTGACAATGTTGGTGTATATTTCATTGTCTCTGAGATCATAACCTTCCCATTAGACCCAAAACTATTGGGATTAGTGTAGTCCGTACAGTCTCAGAACACAGGGACTGTTCTGTCATATGCAATGTTGGGTTCCTGGTGTCTAGCACATGAGCAGCCTCAGTAAGTTCATTTACAGTTAGTTGGTTGTTGGCCTGGCATTCCAGATATCAGGTGCATGGCTGAAACCGTTCTTTGACTTTTTCAGGTTGTTGAACTTCTCCGATATTTTTTTTTCCACAGTCACACACATTTGTCAAAGGTTACTAAACTGGCTGGTTTTAAGACTGATTAAATACTAAGCAGGCAATGCTTAGAGCTAATAAAGTATATGTTGGGTAAATTCAGATGATATTTTTAGCATCTGACTCAGTGATAATGATAATGTGGCCAATTGAAATATTATAATTTTAGATAAAATTATAAAGCCAGAGAAAATAGATAAAACAGTTTATACATGTCTGTCAATTTAGAGGGGGCTTAAAGTTTTCTTTTATCATTTCTACTAAAAATTCCATTATTAGCTATTAATTTTTGCTTTCTGTACTTTCCATCTTTACTAGAAATGCATCTAATATGTAATTATAAACTCATAACTTCCATTTTACTGTTATTTTAAAACATCTCAAGTCCTTTTTAATTATTTTGTTTCTCTTAAAATCTTATAGTTGATAAGGATTTGCCAAGTATATAACCTTGAGTTTTTTTTGAGTGTGACTTTTTTTTAAAGATGAGAATATGTCTCAACTTGAGAGCATATAAATTATTTTTAAAAGGGTTTATCAGAAATAATATGTGAAAGTAACTTCATATAAACTTTAATAGACTACAAATATGTAGGCTTTCTAACTAGTTGTTCTCTTTACATAGTGTTTTATAAAGCTTTTGCTTGAAATTCAGTTTCTCTAGTAGTTTACCTTCTGTGGTCAATCTTTTCTGTGTAATGCTCTATTTTTTTTCCAGGAAAAAATATTGTTCATGTCCATTGCTAAGTAAATTATCAATGAAAGGAAAGAGAGGAAAAATACTATTTTAGTTATTCAAACCATTGCCAGTCTTTAATAATCTAACTCAGAATCCTGGACAACATAAATATGAAAGAACAAACAAACAAAGTCCAATGAGGTTAAAATTTTAAGCTGCTACTTAGTTTAATAAGAATAGATAATATATTTTATTTTTTAAAATTTATTTAATTATTGTTCAAGTACAGTTTTCTGTCTTTTACTCCCATCCCACCTCCCCCCCAAGGCTCCCCACCTCCCTCCCATTTCCACCCCTGTTAGTTTTTGTCCATGTGACTTTTATACTTGTTCCTGTGAATCCTTCCCCCTTTCCCTGAAATTCTCTCCCCTCTCCCCTGTGGTCCCTGTTAACCTGTTCTGAATTTCAGTGTTTTTGGTTATATTTTGCTTGCTTGTTTGTTTTGTTGTTTAGGTTCCTGTTAAAGGTGAGATCATATGGTATTTATCTTTCACCGCCTGGCTTATTTCACTCAGCATAATTGCTTTCCAGTTTCATCCATGCTGTTGCAAAGGGTAGTAGCTCCTTCTTTAATTCTGCTGTATAGAATTCCATTGTGTAAATATACCATTGTTTTTTGATCTATTCATTTATTGATGGGCACCTAGGTTGCTTCCAACTCTTGGCTATTGTAACTTGTGCTGCTATGAACATTGGGGTGCATAAGTTCTTTTGGATTGGTGTTTCAGGGTTCTTAGGATATACTCTTAAGAGTGGAATTGCTGGGTCAAAAGGCAGATCCATTTTTAGTCTTTTTAGAAAATTCCATACTGTTTTCCATAGTGTTTGTACCAGTCTGCAATCCCACCAACAGTTAACTAGGGTTCCCTTTTCCCCACAACCTCTCCAACACTTGTCGTTTGTTGCTTTGTTTATGATGGCCATTATGTGACCTGTGTAAAGTGGTATCTCATTGTGGTTTTAATTTGCATCTCTCTGATAGCTAGTGATATTGAGCATTTCTTCATGTGTCTCTGGATCTTCTGTATGTCCTCCTTGGGGAAGTGTCTGTTCAAGTCCTTTTCCCGTTTTTTGATTGGGTTGCTTGTCTTCTTGGAGTGGAGTCGTGTGAGTTCTTTGTATATTTTGGCGATTAAACCTTTGTCTGAGGTATCATTGGCAAATATGTTTTCCCAAACAGTTGGTTCTCTTTTTATCTTAATACTGTTTTCTTTAGCCATGCAGAAGCTTTTTATTTTGATGAGATCCCATTTGTTCATTCTTTCCTTTATGTCCCTTGCTCTAGGGGACATAGCAATAAAAATGTTGCTGCATGAAATATCTGAGATTTTCCTGTCAATGTTCTCCTCTAGAATTTTAATGGTATCACGGCTTATATTTAAGTCTTTTATCCACCTTGAATTTATTTTGGTGTATGGTTTAAGTTGGTGCTCAAGTTTCATTTTTTTTGCATGTAGCTGTTCAGTTCTCCCAACACCATTTGTTGAAGAGGCTATTTTTACTCCATTTTATGTTACTGCCCCCTTTGTCAAATATTAGTTGCCTGTAGAGACTTGGGTTTATTTCTGGGCTCTCTGTTCTGTTCCGTTGGTCTGTGTGCCTGTACCAGGCCGTTTTGATTACAGTGGCAATGTAATACAGTTTGGTATTGGGTATTGTGATCCCTCCTACTTTGTTCTTTTTTCTCAAAATTGCAGCTGTTATTCGGGGTTGTTTATGGTTCCATATAAATTTACTTAATTTAATAAGAATAGATAATATATTTTCTTTAAAAAATAGATTGGAGGCTGTGTGATATAATGGTACAAACTTAGTTGACTGTCAGGCAGGTGGGTGTGGATGCAGCTACTATACTGATTGACAAGTTACTGAACCAATCTCAACTTCAGTGTCCTCCTCTGTGAGTCATGCATGACTCCACTAACATTCCATGGTTGTTTTAAGATAACACCTTTTTTTTTAAGATTTTATTCATTTATTT